ATTTCTCTGATATTATATCTCTTTTGAAATTTTCTTTTCTCTGAGTTGCCTCTGTTTTATCCCTCACTGTCCATTTACTTAGTATGTGAGCTGCTTTCTTCAAGTGCCTGATAGTGTGTTCATATTTCAACACGAGACAGTTAAAGACTAGAAATTGATTGAACCCATAGTTGGGACTTATTAGTTGGGAACTGACCATGTCATTGTGAGAAAAGCCCCAAATATACCAACCACTAGAAGGTTGGAGGCTTGAATCTATCCAGAGGTAGAAAGGCTTGGTGATCTGTTTCTGGAAAAAAAAAAAATGTCCATATATGCCCATTGAACATAGTTCTACTGTGACAAACAAGAGTTAGTTGGAGTCAACTCAATGGCAACTTTAAAAAAAATCTGTTTTTAATATGGAAGTGGTTGACACCTAATAATGTACTTCTCTCAAATCAGTCACTGTGACCAGGGGAATAGCGGGATGGTTTGGAGCGGGAAATGTGGGGTCATTGTATCGAAACCGCATGGTTGGGATGCGGTAGGTCAGGGTAAATGGACAGAGGGACTTACAGAGAGTATTATTGGCTAGAGGAGGGCCTATATGTGAGTTTGTACTTGTAGCAATGGTTTCTTTGATGCCTGCGTGCTGAAAGATTTTTATGAATATTGAAGGCATGGGGACAGAGAGGTAGAGTATTGAGGGCACCCTGATTTACTTTGTTTTTCTTAAAGTAGAAGCTATATTTATGTTGAATATAAAAGGAAGTAGAGTAGAAACTATGAAGAGTGTCTTTGAGTCATTGGAAAGCAAACTTTGTAGATGTGCAGGGCATTGCTAAGTGGCATTAATTGGGAATACTAAATTCTTAGTGACACTAGTACACAATTTACACAATTTAGGTGCTCTTTCTTAATTTCATCTCCAATGTGTAAGTAGCAGTGTACGTATAGGAAAAACTATTGTTAGAATGTTCCAGGAGTGGGGGGTTACAGGCAGGGATGGTGGAAGGACTCGGATAGAGTATAAGAAGTGTTTATAAGAAAGGAATAAACCATGAGCTCTGGGCTGGTTATGCAAGGAAGTAAAATCAGGAGGGGCCAGATGCAGAGAGAATAAGGAAACTAGATTTAATGTAAGTGAAAATGAAAGCAAGAAGCTTGTGGTTTTTCTAATAAAACCTTTCTCCAGGGAGTTCATTTTAGCTAGTTTTTCAAGTAGGCTTTGTATGTTGTGGCTTTCAAAATCCAGTCCTGGTATATTGTGTAGCATATTTATTTGCCTGATTGATCTTTTGTCATGAACTAAAAATTGAATCATATTGGCAATGCTTTAGTTCTTGTATAGATACAACATTAGTATTTGTCATGTAATTCATAAAGGTGTAAACCTAAAGTGCCTCCCTCATACGTTGAGAAGTAATTTTGCATGCAGGTTTTCTTTTGTTAGAAGAAGATAAACATGTTGGCCTAGACAGAATTATTGATACCATCAAAATTTTCTACCTTCCATGGTCATAGATCATTATCTCTTTTCCTGTTTCCTCAGTTTGCTTTCTCTTTCCAAATAGAAAGGATGCTTTGTAGTGCCTAGGGTAAGTTAAAAAAACATTGCTACCAGGGAACAAAACATGTTAAACATGCCTCAGTGATCAGTGGGTGGCTATAGACACGTTCTCTTTCAGTAATACACATGTGTTAGTCTCACTTTAAAAAAAAGGTCCACCAAAACAGTGGCTTCCAGGAGGCATCTGCAGGGCTAGTTACACTCTAGGCAGAAAGGGTATGCCAGCTGGTTTGGAGGATTCTAAAAAGGTACTCCTGATGGCTTTTCTCAAAGGACTCAGGATGATGATGACTGCTTATTAGGAAGAAAATTGAGTTCTGCTTTTGTGAGAAACTTCCAGGAAAGTTGCACCAGGGGATTTCTTTTTCATCATAACAGCGTTCCTACTCATTCTTCAAGGGTAGCAAGGACTGTGCTCTGAGAATTTTAATGGGAAAACCTTACCCCATCCACCCCTGCTCTTACCCCTTCACTCAGATTTTTGCTTCCTAAACCCAAAAGAACATTAAAAAGGTACACAGTGTAAATTCTTCAACAGTGCCAAACTGCCATTTTGACATGGTGTAATTTGAAGAGAGTAGAATTCTTCGGCAAAGTGTTGAAAAACCCATTGCTATCAAATCAATTCCAACTCATAGCAACCTTATATGACAGATTAGGACTGCCCCATAGAGTTTCAGAGGCTGTAATCTTTGTGGAAGGAGACTGCCGTTTCTTTCTCCTATGGAGTGACTTGGTGGGCTTGAACTGATGGCCTCTCTTAGCCTCAAAGCACTTAACCACTGCACCATCAGAGTTTCTTTCAGGGAAAGGGTTGAGAGAGGGAGACATTGCCTTCAGAAGTATATAGGTTTAGATGGAAGATATGTCAAGAAACGATAGCTTCATATATCGGTACTGTTGTTAAATAAAGGCTTCTATGACTTTATAGCAATACTTTTTGACCTTCCCTCTTATGTTACATATTAACTGTCTTAGATATTTGCAGTTTTAAAAGTTGTCGTTAAGTTCTTTGCTGTTGAATTTAGCAGTATTTGAATTAGGCAAGCTTGTAGTGATAGCAAATCAAAATAGGAATTCAGTTTCACTTTGTAAAATACACAGCAGTTGTCCCAAAGTGAGTGATAGGGCCCTCTGGAGGATGCTGGAATGATCCAGGGGAGCTGGAAAATCAGAGGCCTCTGTTTCATCTTGGATGATGGGTTCTATTACGAAAGTTTTTAATTATCAGGGGGCTACTGAGTAATTTTTTTTTTCTGTAAAGGGATTAGTAGGCCAAATAAGTTTGAGAATTTATGATACAAAGTATTCTGATTACCTTCAAATTAATAATGCATTAGAAGTTGCATAATTGGAAAGCTAGCAGACTGAGTAAATAAAAAACTGCCACTTGGCAGGCTACGTCTTCACATTTGGTTGTAAGTTACGGAGCCTTAAGTTATAATGGGTGTTTAGAACATCCCTTCAATAAAATGCCAGGCCCTATATAGATGAAAAATTTTATTTTGTTTTGTTTTTAAATAAAGGAATTTGTGATACTTGAGTACAGATTGGGCAGGTGGTTAGAGGAGATTGGTATTTCATATTATCCATGAAAGAGTAATCCCTGGAACTGGTGCTGCGCATTAAATGTTTTAGGATGCTTAGCTCAGAAAAGTTAGATCAATGCTTACTTAGAAAAGCTTCCTGTTTTTCCTCTTCCTTCTACCCTATAATGATCCTCTTTCCAATGCTACCTTTCATGGCTTCTTACAGCGTGTTCATACAAACATACACAAGGCAATTCTGGCGTGGGAGGTGGTAGCTGAGAATCACCAAAGATGTCTTAAGGGGAAAGGCTTGTAAGGAATTGAGAACCGTTGCCCATTTGTGAACAAGATCTAAGCTCTTTTTCTAACTCTGGGATGCATGGGTAGAAATGTAATGTTAAATTATCTGGGGCAGGGGGCGCCTGGAAGTGGCAGGAGAATGATAGTGGTGGCAAAAGTTGGTTCTGAAAATTCTGCAGAAGAACTAATAGTGGAGAATTGTGTAAGAGATATTAGATCATTTTTGTGAATTGCTGTCTACTTGAGGCAAAACACGTAACATTTAGAGCAGCAACAGCTAATTATTTTTTTTAATTGCTTAGAATTTTCAAATGGAGATCCATTTTTAAAGGTATAAATGTATATTCAATTGAATCTGCATTTTGACTGGTAGAAAATGCTAGGTAATTGATCTGAGATGGATTCCTGGTTAGAATTCAGCTTGTATTTAGTCTTACCTGTTTGCTCAGAAAACATTCATTCTAAATTGAAGGTAGTATAAAATAAGAACATAACATGCATGAAATGACCAAAGGAATAATACCATGTTGTGCGGAATCAATTTCTCTATAGCCCTGAATGCCTAGGGTGCTCTAGGCTGCACATGTGTATCGTATGTGTCCTAAATTTATTAATGAACTGGTAACGTGTGGGTCACATTAGGTTTCAGAAAAAGAAAGACAAGGAGGATGATCAGGAAGTCGTTTGGGAGAAAAGAGGTGAACTAGTCTTTGAAAAGGGAAGGGGGGCGGTTAGTTTCGAGAGAAAAAGCACTGGAACGAGAAATAAGGTTGGTGTAAGCAGGGGTAAAGAAAAAGAGCACTCTGCTCAGAATGGAAGATCTTACTTGGAACTCAAAAGAGAGTGAGTTTGATAATGGGACCAATTGGTCTATGGTTTTAAATATGTCAACTTGGGGTCTGGTGTGATGTAAAGACTGCCAAGCTTGTTGTTTTTGTTGTTCGGTACCTGTGAGTAGTTCCAACGTACAGCGACCCTATGTTCAACTATATGAAACACTGCCTGGTCCTGCACCAGCGTCACAATCATTGCTAGCCTCGAGCCTATTGCTGCAGCCCTGTGTCAGTCCATTTCACTAAGGGTCTTCCTTTTTATTGACCCTTTTACTTTACCAAGCCGGAGCGGTTTTACTCTGTCCTACAGGATCACTATGAGTCAGAATCGACTCAACTGACTTTCAGGTTAAAAAGGACAAAATGAATATGCAAGATTAATTTGGTGATGACCTTTTTCCCTCCCTTGCTCTATCAACTTCACTATTTAGTCAGACTTCACCCCATCGCCAAAATAACACTTGACATTTTTTATCAAGTTTAAAAGTCATCATACTTAGAGAAATTTAAGTGGGTGTTAATGTTTTCCCTATTTCTTTGAGGTGTGGGAACTATTAGGGTAAGTTTACACATTGAAATTTCTGTTTGTAGCCCATATTGTATTAATATATTTGTCACTGTACTTGGGTTCTTTTTGTAATTATTACTTTATGCAAGGTGCTGATCATTGAATTCTTACTATGTAGAGGAAATAGCCACATTAGAAATAAGACCCTATTCTGATTCCTTAATTGTGTTGCAGTGTATTTCAGCCCTTTTTCTCCCTCTTCCCTTTTTCCCTTTCAGGTCAACAGGACATACTGCTGTGGCACCTATCGAGCAGGTCCTATGAGGCAGATAAGTCTTGTTGGAGCAGTAGATGAAGAAGTTGGTGACTATTTCCCAGAGTTCCTTGATATGTTAGAAGAATCACCATTTCTGAAAGTGAGTATTAATTGAGATTATTAAAATTTTGATCAGTAAGAGGACATTTTTCCATGAAAGAGTATTAAGTTAATCCTGTTTAATAAAATTAAATCACTTCTAGTGGTTTAACTGAAAATGTGTATAAAATTATTGGTACAAAGGACTTGACTGCATTTAAAAAAAAATAAAACAAAACACTTTAATGTGCCATGTGTTTCTTTACATACACACATGAACAACTTCATTGAACCTTTTTTCGTGGGGTGATAACTTGTAAATCATCTGGAATATACTTTAAAATGTGACTCATCCATCTGGTTTCCAGATGACTTTGCCCTGGGGTACGCTGTCCAGCCTTCGACTCCAGTGCAGGTCCCAGAGTGATGATGGGCCTATCATGTGGGTGAGACCAGGAGAGCAGATGATCCCTACAGCAGACATGCCAAAGTCACCCTTCAAAAGACGACGGTAAATACGTATTCTCACATAAGCAAAAATGCTTGCTTTTTAAAATTGATTGCTTATAAAAATGATTGAAACTCAAGTATAGTTTAAAAACCATTTTTTTAAAGATTACTTTAGGAACTTAAGTAAATCATCTAGTAGTTAGTTCACTCATTATACACTCTTCAGAATGCTAATGAAAAGAAATTTAATTTGTCACTTTGTAAAAAACCTAGGTCCTAACCGCCGGCAAGATTAAAGGAGAAATTCCTCTTTAGTGTGGTCTCTAAGGATCTTTCACCATCTGGCTATAGCAGTGTCTTTACTAGATCTAACTGCTTCTGGTCCCCTCCAGCAATACAGAATTCCATTTCTAAACCATGGTCTCACGCAGCTTTGCACTTTAGTTTTTTTAACTTTGAATGGCACCCCTCCTCCTCCTTCCTTTCTAACTGGAACACTCTTAATACATTTTTGTTTGTTTGTTGTTGGTCTATTACCAACTCTAATCATTGAATAAATAATGATATAGTTGTAAATTGTACATTTTCAAAACTAGAATGTTATTTCCCTTATGAAGCCTTTCTTTGGACCTCAAATGATTACTTGTCCTCCTCTGTGCTCACACAACATCCTGTTGAGTCATTAATGATCTGTTTAAATAGTTGACTTTGCTGTTAGATTTTGAGCCCCTGGAGGACAGGGACTGGTGTTACTCATCTCTGTCTTCATGACAAATAGTAGCTGATTGGTGTTTGCTGAATGAAACCAACAGTGTATCCCCCCCCTATGATGCAAAACTTCAGTAAATCATATTGTACTAACATTTTGTGTTTTGGACATATAAAACAAATGCATATTAATTTACTGTAATGCTATGAAAAATCTCATTTAGTAAAACTGATAATAATTTATATTTGTTTAGATTATGGAAAGAGCAAAAAGCCCCAGTAACATGGTGGTTAAGAACTTAGCTGCTAACCAAAACGTCTGGCCATTTAACCCCACCAGCTCTATTCCCAGGGAGAAAATGTGACCATCTGCTAGCCTTGGGAATCTTATGGGGCAGTTCTCCTGTGTGTTATAGGGTTGCTATGGGTTGAAATCCGTTTGATAGTCATGGGTTTAGGTATGGAAAGAGCAATCCCAAAAGAGTTTCGGAAGTGCTGCTAACCTCCGGATCAGAAGTTTGAAACCACCAACTACTAAGCCACTCCACAGTCTCAGGAATCCACAGGGGCAGTTCTGCTTTGCCCTGTAGGCCACTTGAGTTGGAATCGACTCAAAATACTGAGATAATATTAGTTACACTTGATTTCTGGACAGTGCACTTGCCTCGTGGGCAGCCACCACTCTTGTCATGCATGTTCTGATGGTGAAGAGACTTCAGTAGTGCTTCCACACTTAAGATAGACTAGGAAGAAAGGCCTGGTAATATACTTCCAAAAATCAGCCAGTGAAAACCATATGGGTGACAATAGTCAGATCTGCAACTAGAGGAATGGGGCAGGACCAGGCAGTACTTGTGTTTGGATTGTCAGGAGTCAGTGGCCAACTTGATGGCAGCAACAACAACATTTGAAGTTAGGTACATGATGATGAATCCTGACACTTTACTAAATACTTACGCACTATATATGTTTCATAATCTTTCCATAATGAAAATTGCCATTGTTTGCTTCTTGACTACCAAAGATATTTTTAAAAATAAGATAATACAAAAGAATTTTTAAACAATTATAATCCCTATCCTTTTAGGTCAGTGTTTCCCAAAGTGGTGGGCAATACCGTACCCCTTGGGGGTATGCTAGAACCATCCAGGGAAGCTGCAAAAGCAGACACTGACACTGCACCCTGACGTATGGGCTTTTATACAGTGTTTCTAATTGCCAGGGAGGCACTACGTTTTATTTTTCTGAAATAAGTTTGAGAACCAGTGATTTAGGTATATTAGTCTCTCAGATTAAGTCCATGTATACTCATATTCTTGTAAAAAAAACAAAACAATTGTTTACATGATGTTTATTTTTTAAGTTTTTATTCTTTCCCTTAGGCTTATTTGTATTATATCAAGATACAGCTATATCATTTCTTTTTTTTAGTATATGTGCTGCTGAAGCAAGCACCAGCTATATCATTTCTAAGTGATTATCTTTCATTATATGATTGAATCAAGATTTGCTAAACCAGTTCTTAATTAGTATATATTGTTTCCACTTCTTCAACATAAAAAGTATTTTGATCGTGCTAAACTGGAGCCAGGTTATACTGTTTTATATAGCCATTATTAACATTACTTACCAATCAGTTGCACATTGAGTAGTTATAATGTTGATAGCTTGAAATGAGCTATTTTGGGAATATTGTTTTTCCTTAAAAAAAAAAATCCCTCCAGATTCCTTATCCCTCAAACCTAGATAGTGATTTGAATGGCCCTGGAGTCTTTAGCGACAAACAAGTTCATCTCAGAATTTTTTAAAAACCTTCATGTCAAAAAAAAAACAAACCCAAAAAAACTTCATGTCAGTGTACCGTTAATTTGTAGGTGACCTATTTTTTTTCCTTTCTAAATGCATCTTCTATTTTGAAATTCTATAATGATGAATCTCTTTTGGGGTCTTTCATTCTATTTTGTCAAAATTTTCTTGCTGGTGTCTGGTAGATAGGCTTTTAAATTTAAATCATTTGTGGAAGTATTTGTTTAATTGCTATGGTAAGTCTCCATTTTCTCTGTTGTTTCTGAAACTATTAGAACTACTATTAGATGAATAATAGATTTCCCTCGTTTGATTAGCCTCATATTTCCCATTATTTCTCATTTTGCTTTTGATTCTAAGACACATACTACGCTTTTACCTTATAACCTTTCTGTTGAATTTTTAAATTTCAGCTTTATTTTGGTCACTCACACTGTTAACGGCTTTCTTCAAAATAAAGCAATAGACTTACTGGGAGTTCAGTTAATACATGGGTAACACTTGTCAATAGCGGAGTTTCACTTTATAGAATTGACAGGCATAGATATTAAGGGTTTTGCCCAGGTATTAGAAGATTACATTAGCTAGTTTTGCTCTTATGGAAAATTCAATTTGTTTATAGAAAACATGCTGTGCTTGTTTTTTGTTTGTTAGTTTTTTAGGATGCTTTTGGCTACAAACTGCAAAAATAACTGACTCAAACAGATTCAAGAAATATATTATCCTGCATGTTAAGAGCCCACAGTAGGTTGGTTCTGGTATCATACAATGATGTCTTCAAGAAATTAAGTCATTTCATTTTTTGGTCATTCTCTTTGCCTAGCCCTTCTACTCCCTGATTGGAATCTCAGAAGAAACTATGTTTGCTTGGACCGAAGCTAGGAAACTTCCCAGACATCTCCTCAGCAGATCTGTTTTCACGTTTGCAAAAATAATTTCTAGAAAAACTTAATAGACTAGTCCTAGGAAATTGGAGGTGAAATATGTTCCCAAATTTACCCTACTTTTTCAAACTGCTCTACCACTCCATCATCTCTGACATCAGTCACCACTCCCTGCCTTAGGGTATTTCCCTTATGTCTCAGGGTTCTGCACTTTGCTGCAATGATCACACAGAACTCAGAACTCATAGTCATGGTGCTGATCATTCCTAAAATCCATACCCAAAGCTGCAGAAGGAATCAGGTCAGGTGCTAGACCACGATTCAAGCCCCAAGAAGAGGCTCCACAAAAAGAGGCAAACTAGATGCACGGTGCAGAGAGTAGTCTCTGCTGCTTGCTGGCTGTCCTCTCTTGCTGAGAGAGAATCCCACCCCTGCTTCTGAGTTGGCTCACCTTATACCCAGCAGGTGGCAGTCACTCACAGTAAGTCATACAATCCAATTGGCATCTCATCTTCCCATGCTCTCTTGCTCACACTCATCAAGGAAAAGTCATTTGGCAGGAATAACAAAACTATTTGGTGAGAATAACAAAAACTTTTTTAAAAAAGTCGTTTAGTGGGCATTACAAAAACTAACTCTGCCTAGAAAAGCCAGAAAGAATTCACTTTACTGAGACATTATTATCTAGAATTAGATCCTAAGTCACTTAACTGGGAAGGAGAATGTACTTAGTTCAGTTTGCCTGCCTTATTAGAACCTACCTTCGGAATTGAGTGAGGTCATGTGGGGTAGAGGTGGATTCCTAATCTAAATCAGGGTTCTGTAGGGAAATAAAAGGGAGGGATGGATGCTGGGTAGGCAAATCATCATCCATTTCTTGGGGTTCAGTGCCTGTCCACATTTCTGCCTGCAGATGTGGAAAGTAACTGGTTCATTTGCAGAATTCCACATTGACTCCCCTTTCTTCAGTGTCACGTCTTTTCTCTCCATTATCACCATGATGTCTAGCTTATCTGAATTTTAACCTGTTGGGCTGACCTGCTGTCTTTTTGTCTGCAGTTCTTGTGTACTCTAGATCTGTGACTTGCTTTATTAATTTAAGGTACTTATCATTATTTTCCGTCTTCTAGAAGTGTATTGAGATTGCTCATCCACTAATTCCTTTCCTGTTACTTTTGTTGTTTCTTATTCATTAATTATCATCTTTGTCTTTATATAAAAATTTGAGCGCATAATAAATGCAATTCCCTTGTATTCATCACTAATTTTTTTTCTAAACCCCTAAGATTCTTCCCATACTCTGCCCCTCCCTCCTACTGTATTTAGTTTGAATCTTTGTACTTTTCTTTTAATGTGGGAGGAGGAGATGTAGGTCCTTAGTTTGTTTTAAGCCAGAAGTCTAGTAGAGCATTTTGAAAGAGAGAAAGGAGGATGCCTTAGTGAAGAAACATACTACCCTATACCTTGAATTGTATTTTCTCTTACTCCAAAACCAAACCACACTGACTGCCATAGACTAGATTATGACTCAGCTAATGCTACATTTGAACTTTAATGAGGAAAGATCGTTTCTACTTAAGGTTCACAAGAAAAGAAAGGCCTTCACATTGAGTTCAATATAAGAGTTACAATGTAGTGTAGTTAAAGCTAATGATCAAAATCCCTGAAACCTTTTCACTCATTATTGACAGTAATGTATGTGTGTCTCTTCCTTCCTTGCTTTTTCCCCTTTGCTTCATAACCAAATGAACTCAGATCAATGAATGAAATAAAAAATCTTCAGTACCTACCTCGGACCAGTGAACCCCGTGAAGTCCTTTTTGAAGATAGGACCAGAGCTCATGCTGACCATGTAGGTCAGGGGTTTGACTGGCAGAGTACGGCTGCTGTTGGGGTTTTGAAAGCTGTACAGTTTGGTGAATGGTAAGTTAATAGGACACAAAGGCAAAGCTGACTAGCATTATCTAAGAAACGTGGATACTCTTAAAGTTCAGAACATAGAGGATAACTTAATAAATGTATTTTCCTTTTTTCATATTTGTGACTTCAGGGACCTTTTCCTCTTGTATGAGTTACTTGAAAGTATTCATAGAAAAATGGAATGAAAAAATAGTGGAATATTTTCATGGACATTTTGAAGCCCCTTTGTATCTATATATTATGTAAAATATTATAGGTTATATTTTGCATGCATAAAATCTATTTACACATGGATTATTTTTAAAGATTTACATGTGTTGTTCAGTCATACTTAGAAAATATTTCCAGTTAAAGATTATTCAGGTTTTCCTTGTGCTTTAAAACTTGAAAACTTCAACTCAAACTCAAACTAGCTGCCATCAAGCCAATGCTGACTCAGAAGGTGTGACATGAGTGTGGCTGAGACGTGTTTTCCCCACTGCGTTTCCTTCTGATGACACTCCAGAGTAGCAGTAGAGATGGCTGGGCAAGGTGGTGGGGAAGGTTGCAAATACAAATAATGTAGAAGACCCTTGGTTTTCAGCATCACTGTTATGCAACAACGAATCTGATCTTCATGACTTTTCACTGATGTGTTTTATTTTCTTTGAGTTGGTAAAAGCAGCACATACATACGTAGTCTTTAGGAATTACACATCTGCCCCTATGCTAGTAGCGGCATTTCAGGTGGGCAGGAACGCTCACTGTGCATCGCTTTCCACTGTGAGATGATTGACCTGAAATGTAGTTCTGAATTTCATCACTCAGGAGCGACCAACCTCGCATAACCAAAGACGTAATTTGTTTTCATGCTGAAGATTTTACTGATGTCGTACAGAGACTTCAGTTGGACCTTCATGAACCTCCAGTTTCCCAGGTAATTCTTTCATTTTATTTTATTTTTTTTAAATCATTTTATTAGGGGCTCATACAACTCTTATCACAATCCATACACACATCAGTTGTGTAAAGCGCATTTGTACATGCATTACCCTCATCATTCTCAAAACATTTGCTCTCCACTTAAACCCCTGGCATTAGGTCTTCATTTTTCCCCTCCCTCCCCGCTCCCTTCTCCCTCATGAGCCCTTGATAGTTTATAAATTGTTATTTTGTCATATCTTGTCCTGTCCGACGTTTCCCTTCACCCACTTTTCGGTTGTCTGTCCCCCAGGGAGGAGGTCACATATAGTTCCTTGTAATCGGTTCCCTCTTTCCTACCCACTCTCCCTCCACCTTCCCTGTTTCGCCACTCACACCACTGGTCTTGAAGGGCTCATCTGCCCTGGATTCCCTGTATTTCCAGTTCCTATCTGTACATCCTCTGGGCTAGCCAGACTTGCAAGGTCGAATTCGAGTCATGGTAGTGGGAGCCGGGAGGAAACATTTAGGAACTAGAGGAAAGTTGTATTTTTCATCGTTGTTACATCACACCCTGACTGGCTCATCTCCACAAATGGGTGCATAAGCAAATGTGGCGAAGAAAGCTGATGGTGCCCGTAGCATCTGGGGTCTTAAAGGCTTGAAGGTAATCAAGCGGCCATCAAGCTCAGAAGCAACAAAGCCCACATGGAAGAAGCACACCAGCCTGTGCAACCATGAGGTGTCGAAGGGATCAGGTATAAGGCATCATCAGAACAAAAAAAAAATCTTACCATAGTGAATGATGGGGGGAGTGCGGAGTGGAGACCCAAAGCCCATTAGTAGGCCACTGGAGATCCCCTTGCAGAGGGGTCTCGGGGAGGAGATGAGCCAATTCTTTTTTTTAAATTACCATTTTAATTTGATACTGGAAATAAATATCCATGCCCATTTTACTTTGCATTTTCTCTAAGAGTTGGATTTCGTCTGTGTTGTAGGAAGTGGGTGTTAAAAATTGTTTAAAGCAGAGTTCTCTAAACTGAATGCTTAAGGACCCTGCAGTCTTTGGGGTTCCATGTGGGCCTGGGATGATTATAGGACCTAGGCCAGCCAGCTCTGCTTGTGGACAGTGTTGTACTATGTGCCCTTGCATGAAAAAAATCAAATGGTACAACAGAAGAAGACAAATGCTGTCCTTTACATGGCTAAGGATATTGATATTTAGCCATGCATAACAAGACTCATTTAAATGATCTGCTGAACCATGCTGAAGTCATCTTGCTGGTATAGTGGTTTGGGGTGCCGAATAGTGGTTCGAATCTACCAGCTGCTCTCAGCAAGAAAGATGAGGTTCTCTGTTCCTGTAAAGATAACACAGTCTTGGACACTCTGGATAGGGCTGCTGAGAATTTAGGTTTTGAGTCATTCTGACTTTAACCCTATGAAGATACATGGTTCCCAGCAACATTTTCAGCCTGTTAGGTTTCTTGGGAAGCTCCTATCCCACCTAGGAGGGACTTTGCTGCCACCTAGGAGGGACTTCTGTCTGTGGCTGTGTGAATCTGAAGAAGCAGGCTTTACTCCATCAATCCTATCACTGGTGTTCTCTCGAGACAAGTGTCCTACATCTTGCATCAAAATTAATAATACAGAGAAAATGTTTCCCCTTGAATTAGCATGTCTTTCTTTAATAAAAATACGTGGTCTCAACAAAAAAATAAAAGTGAAAAATAATATGGTTATGAGAAGATTAACTGTACGAGGGGGTACCCCCCCCCAAAAAAAAACAACAAAGCAAAACAAAACAAACAAAAAAACCCAGAAAAAAGCCCAACTGGATGGGGCTTTCATAGTACATGTTTTTCCTACTAGCCAAGCATCCAGCAACTGGCTCTGAGTTAGTGCACCCTGTAGTGTCATGTGGGAAGGTTCTCTGTGGTCACAGTGAATTTTTTCGTAAAAGCAGCTTCACTCGAACTTCAGTTTTTGTGATAGCTGATTAAAGAGAACAGTGCGGCTATGAAATTTTGTTTCCTGCTTGGGAAAAATGCAGGTTGTAATGTTGAGCACAGCTTACAAGGACAGTGCTGTGGGAAAACTCAAGTGTATGAGTGGTTTTCTCATTTCAAAAAAGGTGGAATGTTGATTGATGACACACCTCGTTCTGAATGTCTGTCAACTTCTGGAACAGATGAAAATGTCAACTTGTAGTGCATTTGGAGTTCTTTCCACCAGGTCAGACTATTAATCGAGTTTTCTATTTAGTGGTTCTGAAAAGATGACAAAACTATATGACAAAAAAGGCCTGGTTTGTGGCAGATGGGGGATTGGTTTCGACACCACGGCAGCACACCTGCTCATGTAGCCATCTCAGTGCACCAGTTTTTGACAAAACAGTGTTTGCCTCTCTTGCCCCACACACCTTACTCACCTGACCTTGCTCCACGGGACTTTTTAATTCCGCAAATGAAAAGGAGTAGGAAAGGACAGCGATTTGAGGACATAGAAGAGGTGAAGAAAAAAACGAGGGATATGCTGTCAGCCACCCAAACAGATGAGTTCGAAAAATGCTTCCAAGAGGACTCAAGTAGAAAGAAAATGTTTTGAAAATTATGATGGCAACATAAGTACAAATGGGCTTGACACAATGGATGCATTTATTGATTGTGATAAGAGCTGTACGAGCTCCGAATAAAATGATTTTTTAAAAAGTCACACCTTCCAAAAAATATGTTTCCAAGAATGGAATCACAGATTTGACAAATGCATTAAGTATAATGGAGTGTACTTTGAAGGTGATAGGTTGTTTTGTAAAAAATTTAAATACATACCTTTGGGAAAAAATTACATTTTTCTTGGGTACCCCCTTATATGCTGTTACTTGTGTGAGGTTGATTCAGTGTATATCAATGCTGTAGGGTAGGGTAGAACTGTCCCATAGGGCTTCCAAGTCCCTAAATGTTCATAGAAGCAGACTGCCACATCTTCTCCCAACAGAAGGGCTGGTGCGTTCCAACAGCCAACTTTGGGGTTAGCAGCCGCGTGCTTTAACTATGGTGCCACTAGGGCTCAAATTCTGTTATTAGAAAGGTAGTAAAATATGTGGAGAAATGTTTCCCAAGAATTACAGGAAATTTTAGAAAGCTTCGTTCCATTTAGTGTTGCTTAACTTTATTTTGATTAATAATAACACCCTTTGTTCTCACTTGCACTGTGCTAGTTATATAACACTTGACTAAATTATGATGTATTTATTTTAAGCACTGTGCCTTTTTTTTTTCTCCCTTCAGTGTGTGCAGTGGGTAGATGAAGCGAAACTAAACCAAATGAGGCGGGAAGGCATTCGGTACGCAAGAATTCAGCTGTGTGACAATGATATCTACTTCATCCCCAGAAACGTCATTCATCAGTTCAAAACAGTGTCGGCAGTGTGTAGTTTAGCCTGGCATATAAGGCTTAAACAGTACCATCCAGTTGTGGAAGCCACTCCTAACACAGAAAGCTCTGCTAACATGGACTGTAGTTTAACTGGAAATCGAGAATTAGAAGTTGACTCCCAATGTCTGAGGATAAAAACTGAGTCAGAAGAAGCATGCACGGAGATGCAGCTTTTGACAGCTTCCTCGTCCTGCCCATCTTCTTCAGAGCTTAACCCAGCCCACGATCAGATGACTCAGCCCATTCCAGCTCTGAAGGTGGAGAGCAGACTGGAATCTGGCCAGCAACATCATCTGCAGGAGCATTCGAGCACTCCTGTGTGATATGTACATATTCAAACACATTTTTTAACTTTTTTAAATTTTGATGTGAAGTTATAGTTTTATAACTGGCTTAAGTTAAGTTTTATTGGAGAAATCTTGCCTATAATTCTATAAAGAGAAATGACATTCCACAAATGTCAAGCATATCTTTTTTACACAGATTATGCAAAGTTAAGAGTTGTATCTTATCCCGTTAGTACAGTATGTAATAGTGGGTCTGCTGCTACTTTCTGTTTTAAGGTGTGAGGTAACAATTCAATCTCTTCAATTCAAAATGACAATTCTCTGGAATAACAGATTCTTATTTGGTAAGTTATTCACTTTCCTTAATTTGATCTTGCCTTGCCTCATGCCATATTTGCTGCTTTCATGATCGGCGATCAGATTTATGGGTCAGTACTGTGTCTTTATGGCACAAGTTCCCTTTCTGCAGTTAAAATGGTATAGCTTGTTGGAGTGGGTTCCTGCATGTTGGCCATGGGCAAGTAAGTTATTTAGTTCCAGCCACAAAGAACAAGTCCTTTTAAAGGCAAATCCAGTGACTCTTGGTTTCTTAACAAAAGGGAAAGCATAGCACTTTCTGATCCAAACTGTCGGGTTTGGGGTTTTTTTTTTGGTGTCTGTTATTTAAAGCCCAGTGGGTATTTTGATTAAAAAAAAAAAAATAAATCTAAAGTTGAATCGTCCTTGGTCATTCATTATCCATGGTTCATTAATCTTTTCTAAAATAACCTGATGATAGAAGATACTTTGAGTAAAAGAGATAATGCTGACATGAAACTCTCGCTCTGCTTCTTAGCCTCCTCACACTTTGTGTGGACTCTCTTGCTTCCTAAACTAATCACAAGGGTCAAATTTAAAGAATGGCATCCATCTTTCATGAGACTGCCGTATTCTGACCATCAGAATTTGGAACTATTCTTCTTGTCATCTAGTGTCAACCTCTTCATGATAAAAATCTATTATGATACATTTTCAGTACATATTTTTAACTGGTGAATACTGGGGTTTATTCACTATTTCTGTGTCGCTTCTTTCTGAAGGATTATGCCATTAGATTTAATCCTAGAGTTTTAGGTTGCCTAATGCTTAGTGCCTAATTTTTTTTTTAATGGCACCGCTTATAGCTCAGGTGATCTTTAACTTTCTGTTATTTTAAAATGTCAATGTGAAACAAATTTCACTTTCTCTAAGTTAATACAGTAGGGCTTTTGTTTATCAAAGGAAGCGTATTCCCCACACCTATGACCAGATTCTTGTTTATCTACCTGGTTACAGTGTAATTTGGAGATCCCCCCCCACCCCCCAGGATGAGATTAGGAACATACACATTATCATAGGCAAACAAACAAAAAAGAAGAAAAGATGCTGCTGTATTATGTCTGTCACCATGAAAATTTAGCTGCATCTTCTGAAATATACAATAAGAATTTTCTCTAAAAAGATTCAAGAAATAGGTTAAATCTTATATAAATATTACTTTGTGCAATATTGTGTAGTTAAATGCATATTAGCAAAGTATAGAGGTCACCGTGTAAACCGATAGAAAAGTAATCATCAGCAAAATACTGCAGTGATTAGTTAGAATCTGTATTATTCCTTATATATATATGTATATGTATGTATTCTTTGTTACAAAGGATGGAGACAAATAGAGAAACATTTCAATGTAAACCAGTTATGAATTGGAAGTGATGTTGGGTTTAGTTCTTGTAAATAAGGTAATTAGTACAATATGAAAGGTAATGTGATTCTTGCAGAGGTGTTTTTAAATCTTGGGTATAAATTCTGGGGTAAATTCTAGTTTATCAAGACTAGTTTTTAAGGGACCTGCCTTGGAGGGTGTTTTTTGTTTTTGTTGTTTTGCGGGAGGGAGAGGGGAGGGATGGAGGGGATGGGATTAAATCACAAATGTGTGGTTTGGGTTATTGTTTTTGTTTTTCTGTCCTGAAGAATTTCTAGAGCTTTACCAGGCCGTGCAAAGTAAAATTCTTCTCAGGCAACATTTGCTTTTTAAAATAATAATGAAGAGCAAAGTTGTTAAAGCAAAAACTTTTATTTTTATTTTCCTTGTCTTCCAAGATCCAGTTTCCCCATTTCCTACTTGCCATCCAGCAGATGCCCTCTGCCATCTCAGCTGGTCACAGCTGATAAACACGGAGACTGTCTCCTGACAGCCGGCACTGTGTGTAGTCACTCAGGAACCAGCGGAGCTGCAAAGACCTTACAGTCAAAGTGAATCCCCGCTTTCTTTTTATAAAACATTCGACCCTCACCTCCAATATAAACCCATCAAAGGAGTATAAAAATGTTTAAAATCATGTACTAATATAATACATTCATTGTATGTTAGAATTGCAAATAGAATGGAGAAAGAAACATTTAGCTAGTAATGTATCTGGAAACTCTGAATGTCCTATGTGAGTATTAGATTTTAATAGCATGCTTTAAAGACTGATGAATATAAAAGTGGCAATTTTGAGTTTACTGCTTTCAAAGCAGTATCCTAGGATAGTGATACCAATTATTGCAACTTTTCTATTGTTAAATTATTTAGTTTGGTGGAGTGAGGCATGGAGCAGTCTGGCATCTTCTGATTTGTAACAGTGATGGCAGTGAAGTTGTACCTGAAATTTTAAACTGATCTTCCTTTTTGGTGTGTTATCTGTTGTGCCAACTTTTTTGAGATTATTTGCAGAGTGTGGCTCTAAGTTTCAGTAGAGTTTGGAGTGGAGGAATGGATTTTAAATGTGCTTACAGAAAAGATCCACTAAATGAACACCTAACTTACTAACGAGTGATTTTATGGTACCCAATCAGAAAGTCTTCCCCTTGCCCCAGGAGTCATTCTGTAATTATTACAAAAATATGCTAGGAGTTAGAATTATGATCCAAATTCACAAAGCAATAATAATAAAAACCTACACATTCACTCCCTCTCTGAAGTTTTAACTCTAAACATGAACTCTCTTTTTCGTATTTTATGATTGTACTTTTAATTTGCTTATTCAATACTTAGAATTTAACTGGTACTTTATTATTTTAAATTAAAGACTTTTGAAAAGTGCCCTTTCCTTTTAGAGACACTTGGGACATCAGTTGACTCATTATGACCACTTGTGTTTCGGGGGAAGGAGCTTATTAATAAAATTCCTTACTAAACCTTAGGAAAAGGTGTCTTGGCTCAGTCTTAATGGGCAGAAAGTTCACACTTAACAGTCCCTGGAGAAACATGAGTATTGCAATTCCATTTATAAATATTCTGCCTAAATGCAAAATAGAAGGATAAGACTCCAAAATCTATAAAAATCATTCATGAATATATTCATGATCATTAATACTAGCCTGTTATATTTTCATTTTTATAATGGAGCTTCAAAGCATTTGTGAGAAAATTCCATTATATTTTAATTATATTCTTCCATGAAATTTCTGATGCTCCTCATCTTTGCCATGAAAACTTTAATTTGCATTTATACCTTAAGGATAATTGAGTCTACTTTATCAATGCTATAGGTTACAAAAAAAACCTTTCACTAGCACATATCAGAAGTTCACATTTGTGCTAAGTCTTAATTTTTAAAAAGAGGTTTCTTGGTTATGCAGATGTAGAGGAAATGCACAAGACATTTTTTTCTTTAGCACCTACGGGACATCCTTATCCTGAAAGTTTGTTGCTTTAAAAGCAAGTATCCATAAATATTATGGCCTTCCATTTTCTTCATACATTTTTTTATAATCCACTTGTGCATGTAATTGAGACCACTACAGTCTCTTAATATAGCACTTTCAATTCTAAAGAAATACTTACGTATACTTCTATCACATGTTGTAAATTTTCATGTAATAGTGTTTTCTGTGACTAAACTCCATTTTGATTGGCAGCTAAGACTTTTTCCTGTGGCTTTAATTTATCTAAGAGGTCTTTGCATATAGATGAAATGTATAATTTGCCTGGTGGACTATTTGCGTTGTGTGGCCTTAGTTTGTTTATTGACAATAACGTGTTTTAAAAAAGTTTTTAATGAATATAGTCTTAAATCTAAATTTGTGTGAATAATCCTTTTAACACCGTGCTTTTTTTGTAGTTGTCTAAGTGTGTTAAATTGTTAAGCTATTTCTTTGTAAAATAGGACAATGGAATGCATAGAGGTTTTTTTTTTCCTGTAAAGTATTTTTTTAATAAACAAAGTCTGATTTGTCCTTTACTGATGTTTCATCACAAAATGAATAGCATATGTGTGTATGTATGAGTGTGTATATGTATACACACACACACACTACATATGAACTCTAGATACCTGGAACTTATATTTAGAAGTCTATTAATCCCCAGCCCCCCTGTGTTATTACCTTTAAGTCGATTTCTGACTCATCGTGAGCCTGTGAGAGAGACTAGAACGAACTGCTGTACAGTGCCTATAATCTAATCCTTTTCTCCCCAGTGCTGCTGCTGCTGGGTTCATTACTGATCCTTCGGCGAGCATGTGTCACTGGGGCTCCTTAGCCCCTGTGCCCCCTAATGCTGTTTATTAGTTTAGAAAGCAGTTGTGAATTTTTTTTCCTACAGAAAAGGACAGGTGTCTGGGGGAAATTCCATCAATATTGAGATGCAGCTAGCTTTTGGGAAGAAAAAATTATACTTGGCATTTATCCCCACTGCTACTTAAATAGGCATATATATACTTGTGAGAGAACAGCTTTTTTTTTGCTGGTGAGTGCATGCAGTATTAATACACATTGTTTATAAACAACGATGTCACAGATTTATTGACACAACCTGGGTTTGTGTGAGCACTTTTTGTGTCATATCCTGGCAGCCCTTGGTTATGACTAGAAAAGTAGACTGCAATGGGCCAGACACCCTCAATGAGAGTGTCTCAAGTTTCCGAGTCTTCATTAGGAAAGGAATTTGCCTCAGCAATACAAGTGAGACAGCAGGCTTGGTCAGTTGGAAAACTTGCCTGAGATCACAGAGCTGCTTATGGAAGCAGTGATCTGACAGCAGTTCTGGGTTCCCACTACTTGCTTCTGCTCTGTAGCAGAATGCACTGGTAAGATCCTTGGTGACGTGCACTCTTCTTCCACTGCCTTCCCCCAAACTTGGTGTGCTATCAGAGGTAAAATGCTGTTAATGTCATTCAGATCTTAAAGCCAATATTAAAAATGAGAAAAACAAACGACTTAAATTTGTCATTCAGCCAGTTTTTTCCTCTTTACCTGAACTTGGCTATCAGTCCTGTTTAGCTTTAAGGAACAGAAACGCTCTCAAGGAGCAAAAGCCAAGCAAGGACGCCACTGTAAAATCGTGAACTTCCAAAATGAGGGCTGTGGCCCTTCAGTAGATGGAGTACAAGGAAGGTGTGCCGCGCCTTTAAGCCTGACTTTAGCGATTCCAATCCTTTTCTGCCCTTAGCTTTACCGGGCAAGGTGGTGAGCAAAAAGGGCACTAGGCGTCAGTGCACCGTTAGTGACAAAAAGGGATCGTGAAGAACGTGGTTGGAAACCCGTATTATGTACCCCGGACGCGGCTGTGCCTTTCCCCAGATTATGGTCATGATTAAATTCTTATCCCAGAGTTGTGCCCCCCCCCCACCCCCCCAGCCCCTGAGCTCCCAAAGCTTAGTCCCCGAACGCAGGCCAGCGCTAAGGACAAGTCACTCGGCCCCAAGACACGGTACATTCTCCAAAGCCACGTCCTTCGGACACCGCCTCTGCCAGGCTCCTGTCGCATCCCAGAACCCCCGGGTTACCCCACATTCCCCACACTACGACCAAGGGAACCCGCAGAAAGTCAGGACCGACGCCCTTGAGGTCCGTGCTTGGGAAACAATGCGACAGGGACTTAGATTTATTTTTTAAAATCATTTTATTGGGGGCTCGTACAACTCATCTCCATCCATCGTGTCAAGCACATTTGTACATTTGTTGCTATTTTCAAAACATTTTCTTCCTACTTGAGCCCTTGGTATCAGCTTCTCGTTTTCACCCCCCACCCCCTTGATACCTTACAAGTTACTATTTTGTCCT